GATTTAAAAATGGCGGCTCCCCGCTTATGCAAATGAAGCCCGGGAAATTCAGATCCCGGGCTTCATTTGCAAGTGCGGTATGCCTACATTATCCTGCTAGTTCGAACTAGCGAGGTAGTGTAGACATACCCTCAGGCAGTCAGAAATAGTGGTCAAAGCAGGGATTGGCATCAGCAGAGAGGAACTCAAGGCAAGAGTGAGAGCTAAAATTGGGATCAGACACCTTGGGTAAGGATCAGTAATGAGGCAGGAAAGCTGGAAAGCAGGAGCAAGGTATAGAAGCTAGAATCAGGGACAATGGGGCATAGAGGTCAGGCCAGAAAACAGTATCTAATGTAGCAGCTATCCAGGACTTCATCTAATTTATGAACAACTTCCTTTGCTACCTCCTGGCTTAGATAAAGTTGCTGGACCAGTTGGTGGGGTTGAGTGCTCCAACTATCAGGACTCCCATGGGTGGTGATTTGGTGGGCCTACGATTTCTTTAGCTACTCAGTCCACTAGTTACCAACAAGCCATCACACTGTGGCCAGGATGCTGTACTCCCTTGGGGGACCAACACACTTGTATTTACTTCTCACACCATGCGATGGGCTGAGGATCGTGGATGTAAATTCATAGTGACTTTGCTAAGATCAGAACATGGCCTCCCGCCTTAAAAATAATGAAATCATAGAATGGGAAGATCTGCTTGACAAATTTTAGCCAGATATCTGGGAGGACAGTAAGGTTCCAATCAATGCTGTATAACATAGGTGGAAAATCATTTTATGAGCTATGCCTGAGTACAGATACTGTTATTCGAATTTCACCCCCAAGGATGTGAAGCAGGTCAATGAAAAGACTCCTATCGTCATTTTCAGGCATTGGCTAAAATTCAGAGTGAGTCCCTCAGTATGCTGGTTCTAGGAAACATTAAAATCTGTTCTACCATGCCTACTACTTGATTGCTCTCTGTTAGTGTAAAGTATCATTTTAATGTTTCCCTTTCCAAATAAAAATTGATATACCATACAAATGCCTTGGTTCACGAAAACTGGCTGCTTTGTGTGTGTGTGTGTGTATGTATGGCTTTCATGACTGTGATATGAATTGTGCTACACACAAAGATTAATCTTTTAAAGTGCATACAAGCAGAATGTCCTCATTCTAAATTGTGTAATTTTGGAGAGATTGTGGAAGTCTGGTTGCAAGCTATTTTACCTGTATGTATGGAGTTTTGTTACAGAGGAAAAGTAATGCAAAAGATTTATAAACATTAGTTCTCCTGAAGTAGGTATTGTTCCCATTTTACAGAAGAGAGCTGAGGATCTGACCAAGGCCACATCTGGAGTAAATGGCTGAGCTGGGATTACAAATTAGGAGAGTCTGGCTTTCAGCCTCAAACACAAGCTGCTAATTGACATTTGCTCCTTTACATGCTTTGGTTCTTAGCTGTGTTAGAAAAGGATCTTTTACAAATGTCAGTTTTTCAATTGGTAGGTTTACGAAGAATGCCCTGACCCTGCTTTCTTCTGTAGTTCAATAGAGATACAGATGCTGTGAAATGAGCCAGAAAGAACTTGTTTTCTTTGGAATATGTCATGTAGTTCTTATTATGGTATACAGAAGTACTGGTTGACATAATTTAATTCTGCTTTTAACTACGACAGTATATTGGATAAGTTAACTTGGCAGATAAAGGGAAAATATTCCGGAAAATTTGTTGAAAGAAAACAATTTACGGCTTAATTGTGCAAACTGCACATAATTTGTAATAAGGAGAGGGAATGCACTAGGGAGGCAAAATGCCTCCTAGAGCACGCCATTACACATGGAGAACACTTCTTCTCCATCACTATTTCACTATGCCATAGAGAATTAAAGCTTTTTCTCTACCCTATCCATG